TTGTTCCAGCATTCCGCAATATGACTTTTCTTTCTAAAATAAACTCTGTGTTGCCTGAACTCATTGGATGGTTCGATAACGAAGTGGGACTGATTTCTGGAATTTTTCAGTGTATTGCTTGAGAGCGACAGATTAGTATTGACTCAGAAATAATAAAGTTGAATTATTTATAACAGAGATTTGGCGCGGTTTTATTGCAGCCAAATGATTTTCAAAGGTCCTTGAGGAAGTAAAACACTATAGGGAATTTGTGTTAACCTTCTGATATGCCTCAAACCGAGGCTTCACCCTCTTTACAGGTTTTACTATCGACTAAGAGAGATTTTGGAGTTAGTGGTGTGGCTATCGAACTCTAGACCACAGTTCGTCTGACATTATGATATTTTGTACTCGATAAATAAAAAAAATGATAGTGAACAGTCATGGTTCAATAGAGCAGTTAGGATCGTGTGTACCCAGTGTCTGCTGCACGTATATCAGAGAGGCTTGCATCCAACATTGCTCCAGTGTAGCCTCTCCTACTGTGCTGTCACCTACAAGCTACTTCAAGTGGTACAAGAATTGAGGTGAGGATCTATTTCCTATGTTCTTCCCTTGAATCAAAAGTTGTATTCGTTGGTATCCAGGAGAAGAGGAGTGTCTGTATTGCATATCCCCGGCCAATTGTAGCGTCGTAGTTCATTGCTACGGTGTTTCAATAATGAGTTATAACTTTTGTATCCTTTTTAGAGAAAATTTGCATTAAAACCTTTTCTCACGTACACATAACAGGTGGTATTATATTTATGAAGTGTGTTACATTTTCTTAACTTTTATCCAAAAATGCTGCTTGATACAACATATCTGCTCAGTGTAATAGAACCAGACATATTAGCGAACAGTATTGCTGTTTTCAATTAGACCTTCTTCAGGCTTTACTCTAATTTACATAGATTTATGTATAAAAATTTCAACCAATGACGGTGATTTTGGGAATCAAATAATAATCTTGATAATAATAATAATGTGGTAAATGTTTTGAACGTAGTTAATAACGATGGTTACAATGATAACAAAATATCGATAATCAAGTTTATGCAGGTGGCGATAAGAATAAAAAGGTAGTAATAAGTGTAGTAATATGTAGACAATTCAATAAATAAAAAAAGTTACGTAATACCAAAGGCGAAGTGGAAAGATAATCAGAGTTTCAACAAATATCATAAAAGTACGAAGGGGATGGAAAATAAGAAAGGGTGTGAGGATTTTGAATAGAATTCACCTAGGCCAAGGGAGAGACAAAGGTAGAACAAACTTCTTTTGTATGCAAAAACTAGGATTGTTCTCTTGAATTCCCATAGCTTCGGCTATGTGTAAAAGACGGGTTCTGATTCCGTTCGAAAGGCTTGATAGAGTGCAATAGATAAATTTGAAGGTATCATGTTTGTCCACTTGGTGACCGCTATCAATCAAATGAGCCAAAATAGAACTTCTTATTGATTTTATTTGACATTTTCCAAACCATGAAGGAAGATGCTTATTAATACGTTTGTTAAGCTGACTAGTTATTCGCCCTATATAGCTCTCACCACAGGAGCAACTAAATTTGTAGATACACATAGAAGTGGCACAGATAGGTAGCTTGTCTTTCACTTGAGCAATCATAATTAATCGGCTGGAAAATGACAAACAAAGGGTGGCGGCAGTATAAGTCCGTTTTATTGCTCTCGATAATCTCAGATGTAAGACTTCGCTGGCCACGTCCCCATTAAAATGCAATTTCATGAACAGTTGTTTCTTTTTAACCGGTGTCAGTTTCTCTTTATTGTACCTGGTGTTCATATGTCTCCCTACAAATCTACTAGGATAACATATTTGGACCAGAGTATTTTGGATGTATCCTAACTCATTTTCTAGGGAGTCATCTGTACAGATACGTCTTACTCTATTCGTGAGGTATCTGACCAAATTGATTTTGTATCGGATTTGTACAAAACTGAGGAAAGGTGTATATTGTGCTACAGATTTAGGTTTTCTAAAGACATCTCTCTTGTATGAACCATCCTCTCCTCTGCTCAATTGGACATCAAGGAAGTCTAGTCTACCATCAAGTAATAGATCAAAGAAGGGAGTAAGTCTAAGTCTTAACTTAAACATATATTACTGAATTTTCATGAAATCATGCTGGAATATTTTGATCTGAACTGGTTGATTATATTGCATGTCCTATATTTGCATCAGGTTGCAGACCTTTATCAACAACTGTCTTCGTTCTATACTGAAAATCAGATGGCCGGAATGAATCACCAACAAGAAACTATGGGAACAAACAAAACAAGAACCAATCGCTCAACAAATATGCAGGAGAAAGTGGAGATGGATTGGACACTCGCTGAGGAGGCCGCTGGGTGACATCGCGCGTTAGGCCAATGCTCGAGTGGAACCCGAAAGGGAAGCGGAGAGTGGTTCGTCGGTTCAAGGGTGACATGGAGGAGATCGTGTGAAGAGGAGTACATGGATGCAGGTGAAAAGTACAGCAGAAGACAGAAGCAAGTGGAGATGTGTAGTTGAAGCCCTATGTTCCACTAGGAACCCAAGGGAAAAATAAATAAATAATAAATATTTTAAGTGGCGCCAACTATATCCAGTGATACTTAGGACAATTCAGTAAATTGGAATTATGAAGTACTTTTGTGTTAGATGATAATAATGGTTACATAATCTTTATTTCGGTAAAGTACGCAAATGCGAAACTACAACGTCAACTCGCTTCCTATTCTTCACTTCAAAATGAATATCAACAACAATTTATAACAAAATACAGTTTTACGAGTTGATAACGGACTGATATCAGTTAGAGATGATTCCCAAACTAGGATGAAACAGCAGCTGTCCAGTACTCCCTGGTTTTCAATGGTTCTCTAACTGATATCAGTCCGTGATCAACTCGTAAAACATAACTAATCCTTACAAATCAAACTATAGAAAATTATTCTGATGCTCGCTAGTGACTTGCTACAGGTTGGAGCTTCCTGCAGTTCTAGTGAGAAGTCGTGACCAGTGAGGTCCAATTAGAAGTCACGTGTGGATGGATTTCCACCAACGACAATAGTTGGGGTCGCGCTAAAATCACGAATTGGTAGAAGTTAGAATTCATGAGCCATTGAATCGGGTCCCAGTGGCTGAATGGTATACGAGCTTGCCTTGTAACCGGAAGGTCCTGGGTTCGAATCCCAGTGGGTGCGTACTGCCGATGATTCCCAAACTAGGATGAAACAGCAGCTGTCCAGTACTCCCTGGTTTTCAATGGTTCTCTAACTGATATCAGTCCGTGATCAACTCGTAAAACATAACTAATCCTTACAAATCAAACTATAGAAAATTATTCTGATGCTCGCTAGTGACTTGCTACAGGTTGGAGCTTCCTGCAGTTCTAGTGAGAAGTCGTGACCAGTGAGGTCCAATTAGAAGTCACGTGTGGATGGATTTCCACCAACGACAATAGTTGGGGTCGCGCTAAAATCACGAATTGGTAGAAGTTAGAATTCATGAGCCATTGAATCGGGTCCCAGTGGCTGAATGGTATACGAGCTTGCCTTGTAACCGGAAGGTCCTGGGTTCGAATCCCAGTGGGTGCGTACTGCCGATGATTCCCAAACTAGGATGAAACAGCAGCTGTCCAGTACTCCCTGGTTTTCAATGGTTCTCTAACTGATATCAGTCCGTGATCAACTCGTAAAACATAACTAATCCTTACAAATCAAACTATAGAAAATTATTCTGATGCTCGCTAGTGACTTGCTACAGGTTGGAGCTTCCTGCAGTTCTAGTGAGAAGTCGTGACCAGTGAGGTCCAATTAGAAGTCACGTGTGGATGGATTTCCACCAACGACAATAGTTGGGGTCGCGCTAAAATCACGAATTGGTAGAAGTTAGAATTCATGAGCCATTGAATCGGGTCCCAGTGGCTGAATGGTATACGAGCTTGCCTTGTAACCGGAAGGTCCTGGGTTCGAATCCCAGTGGGTGCGTACTGCCGATGATTCCCAAACTAGGATGAAACAGCAGCTGTCCAGTACTCCCTGGTTTTCAATGGTTCTCTAACTGATATCAGTCCGTGATCAACTCGTAAAACATAACTAATCCTTACAAATCAAACTATAGAAAATTATTCTGATGCTCGCTAGTGACTTGCTACAGGTTGGAGCTTCCTGCAGTTCTAGTGAGAAGTCGTGACCAGTTAGGTCCAATTAGAAGTCACGTGTGGATGGATTTCCACCAACGACAATAGTTGGGGTCGCGCTAAAAAATCACGAATTGGTAGAAGTTAGAATTCATGAGCCATTGAATCGGGTCCCAGTGGCTGAATGGTATACGAGCTTGCCTTGTAACCGGAAGGTCCTGGGTTCGAATCCCAGTGGGTGCGTACTGCCGATGATTCCCAAACTAGGATGAAACAGCAGCTGTCCAGTACTCCCTGGATTTCAATGGTTCTCTAACTGATATCAGTCCGTGATCAGCTCGTAAAACATAACTAATCCTTACAAATCAAACTATAGAAAATTATTCTGATGCTCGCTAGTGACTTGCTACAGGTTGGAGCTTCCTGCAGTTCTAGTGAGAAGTCGTGACCAGTTAGGTCCAATTAGAAGTCACGTGTGGATGGATTTCCACCAACGACAATAGTTGGGGTCGCGCTAAAATCACGAATTGGTAGAAGTTAGAATTCATGAGCCATTGAATCGGGTCCCAGTGGCTGAATGGTATACGAGCTTGCCTTGTAACCGGAAGGTCCTGGGTTCGAATCCCAGTGGGTGCGTACTGCCGATGATTCCCAAACTAGGATGAAACAGCAGCTGTCCAGTACTCCCTGGTTTTCAATGGTTCTCTAACTGATATCAGTCCGTGATCAACTCGTAAAACATAACTAATCCTTACAAATCAAACTATAGAAAATACAGTTTATTATTAGACGTCTTGATAAATCGATAGTACAAAATCATTTGAAAGAACAATCCTTCTTATGGCCGGAAGAAGTAATTTGATGACGTTCGCAGGTCAGCTGGAGTATCCCAAATAGGATGCTGAGGTGGAGAGATCTGTCGTATAGTCGGCGTTTCAGTGCTTTTATCTCCTCTCTGATTACTATGCAGTTTATGGAAGCATTCATCAGAGATACTTCCCCTAATCTCCTTGTTTTCTTTATCAAAACTCGTCGATGGAATGGGTTGATAGTGTAGGCTAGTTGACGGTCTGCAGGCGTAGTCCTCAAAACTTCTATGCTTCCCTCGACTTTTAATTTCTCCACCTTTGTATTCGCGGTGCTTCTTCATTTGCCTTGAAGTTTCGTATTCATTACACTTAGCCTCGATTAGCTTCGCGAAGAATTCACGATCTAGCGCATCCTTCTGCATAAGTGTATATGGATTTCGAGATGTCTGATGATGAGTTGTTGAATTCGTCAATTGACAGGAAGCCTTTCCTGTTAATAACTGGGATGCCTTCTTCAGCTCACTACCACATCCAGCGTTGTGCGAATTCGATGTAGAAGGCTTCAGTTTCTCCTCATCAGTTGGTCTTTTATCTGATGTCTTTGTGTTTATCAGCTGGAGGAGAAGATAAGAAAGAAAGACAGAAAGAAAGAGAGATAATAAAACATTGGTCAATATTATGAAGAGTAAATCAACAGTGGAATGAGAAGCCTAGTCTAGTTTATTAATCCATTAATGAGCACGGGAATAAGTGAGTAGGTTGTGAGCATCGTGTTAACGAAGCTACTCATCAATCTTTCTGGGAAGTATATCTAATCAACACTCCTAAATCGTCGAAGTGCAGAAACACGGACGATTTGGTGAGATACACCTTTGCTTCTGTGAAATCTGTGTGAAAATCTACTGCACACAGCATTAGAAACAACGTGCGCACTTATCTAATCTAATCATCACTGCATGGTTCATCAAGTAAAGCGTTCCCAACAGCTAGCTACCCAGAGGCAAACTTTATTCTTTAGCTTCCTCCGTTAACTCATTATTTGAGAACAACGAAATCTCACAAGGAAACAACCAAGAAGTTGTTGCCCAGCAAATACGTAGTAGGAAGTCGAGATGGATCAGAAATATTCTGAAGAGACATTCAAATGTCATCGCTCACTACACTCCTTAGTCCAGTAGAACCCCATTGGGAGACACCGAGTTCGAAATGTGTCCGAAAATGACGTGGAAATCCTCGTGTATAGAGAGTCGAAGGACTGCTTATAGGCAACGATGGAGCCAGCAGATTAAGCACTGTGGGAAACAGGCTGAAGCCCTGCTTTCCTCTCTGAAATCAAGTGAATAATCATTCCAGTGTGTTATATGAAAATATCCCATTACAATTTAGAATGCAAACCGCACAGAACAGAGTGACATGGAGATGTTCTCCTACTGAAATCCTTTGCTTCAAAACCCCACCCCACGAATTGCAAATCGATATTAGTGAAAATAAATTTAAATATTAATAACAACTCGTCACTTCCATCAAGTTAACACCTTAACGATATCCGCCTTATCAAGCATCAACAGTTTTCATCCTACAAATATGTGTGTATATTGATTCTCCTCATGTACTTTAAACTAATCATCAGAGGTGAACAGAGTTCATCAAATTCTACTGAAACTGTCCCCTGGATAAATGTCCAAAGCTTGATTCTCCGTCGAAGGGATCTTGAAACAACTCGCCTAACCAGACAGACAGCCAGCCAGTTAGCCAGCAAGCAAGGCAGTAATAGTATAACTGTCGTGGTTTGATACAGACAATGTGTTCCAACGGAATATTATTCTCACACATATTACCACAGTTCAATACTGCATTGAAAACAGAATACGATATGTGTATTTGAACATTCTATTTCATGTCGTTTAACGTAGACCAAAATCACACGCTCAGTGATTGGTTGAAGAATATGAACTGCATATACATACATACATATATACATAGCGTTAGTAGTAGCAGTAGCAGTAGTGTAGTAAGCGCATGTCGAAGTTGAAAGGAACCTCAGGTGAGCTGAGATGAGGTGTCAGGCTAGCGACTCTACTCTACTCCGTGAAATAAACGAAAAATAACATCACCGCCACCTCCACCGCCTCCACTGAAACTTGCATCCTCAAATCTTCAATCCACCTGACCTTCCACTCGGAAGTCAGACGAATCAACGTGAACACAGGTACGCCAATTTTTGAATCTCCTACGCTTTGCAAGACGAGATCTCTCGTCTGTTGCACACTTCGCTGTATTATTTGTAAATATGAAAGATGGTTGTGTGTGAGCATCGAACTCTATATTGTACGTTTAACTGTCAATTTCGTGTAGTTTTTGTTATATGTAAACAACTCTGATGTGATAGTGATTGGCTTCATTTTATAATGTTTCGTCTTATAGTAAATATAAGATTGGAATCCGCAAGTTTAACACGGAGTGGTTCAATGATAATAAAGATCAAGTGAAAATTTACAGTCACTTTTCTGGTGTGAGATAGAAAACGAATCTACTTTGGGTGAGGAGGAAGGTGGCCATGGGAATAGAGACACTGGGAAAATCTCTTTGTGGACATAAAGATTGGGTTGAATATTTTCTATAGCAACTTCATCAGCTATTCTTGGAAATGTAGAACACCTACACACGTAGAGAAATGAGAGGCTGAACATTGTAAAATGTAGTGTTGAAGGCTGGATTTCTATCAGTCTTGTGCTGCGTATCCAACGCGTGCGCTGGTCGAAATAAAACTCATGATTGACCTTAAGATTTGTTCTCCTAACCAACTTGAAAAGTGCTCCAGTAAGCGACGGTGGGCTCGTCGAGGGAATGGCTCTGCCTATGTATCTGTTTTCACAGGACCACTCTGAAGAATCCTGAATACACATTGAAGTGACTAGACTCTGCGGCTTATCCTTCATGGGAATTGAAATTATACAACGAGTGGTAAGTTTTGAAGCCTAATGTTGTGTGGCAACGAGTGGTTTAGCTATTATTTTTCTCTAAGTTTAGATAATTCAGTTACTGCATCTCCTTTGTGCAATATCCTCAATATCTCCTCATCGATACTTCCACAAACTTTCCTATGTGGCTATTCTCAAATAATGTGTTCTCTCTCTCTTTCTATCTCAGCTTTCCTTATTTCATCATCTTAACTGTCGGTTACACAGATTTCCCTACCACGAAACATCAGAGTACTGATGAGGTTTCGTTTTTATACAAGAGCAGTAAACGGTAGAAAATGTGTCCATTGACTAACCTATCATCACTTTGATTATTATCCATTAATTCTCATACGCCAGAAATTAACTTTAATTCTACTGAGCCACATCGATTTCAATGTCTGTGCCTAATAATTTTATCTGTCACAGTATTGCCTGACGAGAAGTCAACCAAAAGTAGGTGCTTTCTCACTTTGTGTTGCTTCACACAAAACTGATTGAGTAGCATCCACGTATCGGTTGCATGCATCACTAGAAGATCAGACTTAAAAGCACTTGATTTACACATCAGTAAACTAATCAATCTAACACAGAGATATCGAGTGTTATGAAAAGACAGACTGATGAGTTTGAAAATTGTGATGTAAACATTTCGAACAATACATTCTCTTCAGCTTGTGATGAACCACCATTCACTCAGTCTAACTACAACACTCTATAGAACTGTAGCTCTATCTGAGTCCGTCATGTGATTATGTGTAGGGGCATTCATCTGTGGATCAAATTCTCAATTTGCAGTCTACACAGTTCGTTCGAGGAGGTGACATTTCACCGGAGTTTCCTTCCGGAGACCTGAATTGTGTAGATCACAATGTGTGACCTGTTTGATACCTTAAGTGGTAACAGAGAGAGCAATCGCAAATCTGCAAAACTATGCACTAATGATAGATCGAGTTTACTAACTGTATTCCGTTCACGTCAAGCAGTGGTGCTTGGTAACCAGTCAGATCGAGTTGGTTTAATTACTGGACGACCGGTTCACTTGTTTGTGGCCGAGCTCATTGCCAGTGTGCCTGGTGTGAATCCGACCAGACAGCCGAATCACCTCAAATCACTCCATTTCTGGCTAGATACTCAGGTGAACTCGTAACACCTTAACTCGATCTGGCTAGCAACCACTCCTAGTTAATGTGTGTAGGCCTGACCTACAAAGATCGATGGATAATCTCTGGCCAGGCAGATGTGACCACTCAAAAATGATATACGGTAAATACAGTGAGATGTGACACTAGAGTTAAAATGTTGTGTAGACGGGTGAAAGGCAAACGTGGATTTCTCCTTTTCTACTACCACTGGCTCAGTCGCGTTGCGTTTCTGTGTTGCGTACCTGTGATTCTCGTTGTCTAGTGATGATCACACTTCAGTAATCACTAAACTTCAACGATCGTGTCGGAGTGAAATTAACTGGCATGCTGCTAAGCCATTCAAGTACAGTTGTTAGAAATCCATCCAAATACTAGTTCACTCACAACCCAATCAATGTCATTTTTTGAGTGACTCAGCAGCATGTCGTTTACAGTCAGTTTAATATTGTGTATTAACGTCATCGTGATGGTATATGATGCAGCAAACAAGTCGTCAATTCATGTGATTTAACGTTTCTATTTATGAGGGAGGACACTGTAACAGCATGTTATCATCCTCGTCTGTGGATGAAAACACAGCTGGAGAACGAAACAAACACAGCTCTGTCCTTTTTTCAGACTGAGAGAAGAAATGAAGAAGGAAGGCAGACAACAAGATGGAGAGACAGTTAGAGAAATGAACAAACAGACAGAGAAGTGAGACACTTCAAACTGTTTACATATTGACTTCATCAATTTTTGATGAAATCTTGTTTGATGAATATGGATTTTGTTCTAGAGATCACAGTTATCCGAAAACTTTCCTACAAGGGAACAGTTTACTTGTTACCAATCAAAAAATATGCTGTAGGAAATGGAGATGGATGGCTTAGACATAGACTGGACTGAGGCGACCATGCGATGATATCACCTGCCGGACAGACCACTGAGTGCAACTCGATTAGTAGGAGGGGACGAGTTTGGCGTCGAACTGAATATGACATGTAGGCTGGAGATGATGTGAACAAGAAACGAAAGTTTGTGGATAGGTGTCGAGACAGCTACAAGTGAAAGAAACAGTCAACAGATGGGAATAAGGATGTCTCAATGAAATCCCAGTTTACATTCGGAAGGCGTGAATAACAACTCTAAGAAAGTAACATTTGAATTGATTCAAGATGCCGATTGAAATTTCAAACGACTGAGATTAGTGGACGAAGAATATTTCTCCTAGATAACAGCCTCGTCCTCAGATCCTACAGTGATTTGTCCACAATAATTATGCCAATAATATCCGACGAATAACGCCAGTAGATTACCGTCTAGATGCCTCTGTAGGTGAGAAAATGCACCAATACAACACTAAACTGAATATCAAATGAATTAAGAAGCACAATGCAGAATTTATGCATATATACCTTCCACAGAAGGCGGGATTAGCCATGATGGCTGGATCTCCTTATTTTGGACACACAGCTCCGGTTATTTCATGTGAATTGCAATACCCTCCGCTCACTGTAGTGTCCGGTACATAGAGGTTTTATGAAATCTATTCTCTGGCCGACTGGTGATAGCTGTGGATTCCTCAATCTGCTGGCTTCATGGTCTGTGTGTACCAGATAGTCTTACAATGAACTTTTGATAGTCTTCAATACACCTTTGTTTAACCACAATGGTTGGTTTTCTACCATCCTTCTGAATTGAATCTTCATGTCACTATTTTGTAGAGGGAGACTGCTTACCTCAGCATAAGAGCCACTGATGCTCATAATGACATCAAGGTGCTCACTTTCTCAGAGTGTTCATGAGATGTGGTTTGGGTGATATGAGTAGAACTACTGACTCACCAGTTAACATTTAGGAGAGTCCACCTCCATTCCCCACACTCTCACAGATTCCTAGCAATTCCAGGCACCATATCCTCCCATTTCCTTTGAAATCTGAGTAGTCTTCTCAGTTTCAAACATGGTCGTGGTATTCCATGATTGCATTTTTTCTTCTTGTTTTTATCGACAGAAGACACATTGGCTGACTGGTGTTACGAGAGATTTCACCAGTTCACGACACTTCGTCCTCCCAAACACAGCGGAAAATAAGGCTAATTTTATATATTTGTTTCTGAAGCTTTCACGTTTCTGCAGTGGTTGGATTGACTTTCTGACGCTAGCCAGCAGTATAACCCTCATTCCAACTTTCCGGGGATAGGAACAGGCCAGAAAACTGCCTAACTAGTAAACTAGACGAGATTTAGCAAATACAACAGTCCCCTATTACTTCCATAAATATCTGGGACCATTTAATCACTCAACTACTCTACGTTGTGGCGAAATATTCATTACTCGCTCTCGGTTATTGGGAACATCCCATGGAAATGGTCTCCATGATATGAAACATCTGTCAGCAATTCCAACTAATCTAGTTGTATTCAAAGACACTTACCTACCAACCTACCTAGTGCCTAGTGTTGACCAATTAATGTAACCAAGACACTTCTACAGGAGGTGATGAGTCGTGAGTTCGAATGACTCACCGATGGGAGTCCGAATATTGGAATGGGGGCGGGTGTTTCACTTCTCTAGAGGTTGAAGGAAGATCCATTTTGCTGTGTTGTGACCGCCGAGGAGAACGAAATCTACACCAGTGAATTCATGACATTGTGATGATTACCAACAATTCGTGCACCTAGCTCTGATCAGCATCATTCAATGCATGATACTCTAACTGATGTTGGTAAGTGATCACCTGTGACTGTGGTGGCTATCCAACCACCTTGATGGTGAACATGCTGCAAACTTCATTGATAGTCGTTTCAGTCTGCAACAACAAACATCAAGGACTAGACACGCATGGCACATCAGTTTATGCCTAGTGGTGAACAATCAACTTAATCTGGAAATTATTCTCGAAACAGTTCAAAGACAGTATCCTTACACTTATTTACACCGTTAGTGTTGAAAAGTATTCCACTTTTTCTTTCTTCTCACTGAAATTAGTCTGGCTGGCTCTGATCGATTATCTCAGAGGCATTCGTATGCTCGTTCACTCAGACACATTTGTCATAATTAGAAAAAGTGGTTTAGTAGAATTCCCTTGCAAATTAATCAACAACATCTTTGAAGACATTGAAAAACGAAGAATCAGATAGTGGAATTGTGGAGTACGTAACCACATGACTGTACACTTTTTGGTAAGATGTTGAAATTAGAAATATTGTATATGACTCTTGTTTAAAACGATTTATGTTTAAATACATATAACTTCAGAGTGCAATTTTAAATACACTATGCTGTTGGTAGCACCGCCTTCTCTATGGCCATTTCTGTCTACTCACCCAACTCAAACCGTGTTGTATACTTTGGATTAATTGCAGGAACCTATTATTATTTTTATTTTTTTATTATTTATTATTTTGGTTATAGCTTGATGCCATACCGTATTTTCAGTACAAGTATGGAATTTTCAGTATGGATATCGGTAGCCCAAATTTTGCAGGCCAACCATAGATATCGGGTGTGCGTCGGCAGGGGATCGGACTCCAGACCATGTGCATGGTCGGCGAGAGTCCTAACCACTGTGCCACCGAAGACAACTCTACAACCGAAACACAGCTTCTATCAGTAGACACGATTCCAACAGTAAGCGCTTCTGTGGATTATATAAATAATTTGTAGCAGTGGACTTTAACAACAAATCTAAGTAACCTATTGATTAATATAACATTACTGCATTTTGATAATATATTGTTGCATTGTACTCTCATTGACTTGGATTTTTATTCGCATATTTGTTATGTTAATGAACTTGCTCTAGACAGTCCCCTACAGAATTCCTTTCCTAGGTATCTCGGTCAACAGAATAAACACAAGAATTCAAGGCACATAAGCTTGGTAGGACGTCAACACACACACGGGTTAAATAAACAAGGGGAACAGCCATAATCCAACAGCACAAAATACAGCCCTCCAGTCCTCAGAAGTATAAACCAGAAACATCTATCAGCTGTCTTCAAGAAAAGTGAACACTCCCAAAATTTCATTAAAAATGTCTAAACTCGAATGAATTCTCCAGCAAAATACAATCGTGAGAAATCTGAGAAAAATTCATCCTACCAGATGTGTGGTGAATATCTCTAAAATGACGATCAGAATGCTAAATGCATTCAAAATAGACACCGCACAAAAATCACTATTTGACGCAGACGAAAATGATCGAGCAGCGGAAGGAGACAAGAGCAGCACCATAACTATACTGGTCAAACGAGGGTTGCCCCATTTGATTCGGACTTCTTGAACAGAAACCACCTGTAAAAATACACCACATGTATTCTTTCGAATCGGCGTATGCAGACAATTTCAGAGACTAATCTGACTAAGAAAAAGTACAAATTTTAAACAGTAAGAACACAAAACAAATGACAAAGAATTCCTAGAAGCCTGATACTCAGAGGAATCAAAGACTAACAAACAGACTACAGCAGATCGAATTCATCAACTAAATAATAAGGAATAAACCACACAACCAAAATAGTCGAAATCCACATGAGTATAACCACATGCATCCATATCGAGGATTGAGAGAAATAATTGTGAAGTGTTAACTTACAGCCGATGATGATGACGACGTAGGAGGTGTTTGATGCTGTGAGGAGGTAGGTCTGTTCTGCCACTCATCAGACCTTCTGTGCCACAATTCATTGACTTTCGTTTACCTTTGTTATCCTCCTTGTCTAGGTAATAAAAATGAGATTTGATATGCGGAAACAACCGAATGGCTGAATGAATTAGCTCATGAATGGATGAAATCCACTAAGTCAATAAATTAGGGAGAACTCCCATAAAACTGTCTAATACCCTATGGGAAAATCACAGTAAAGGAGAACTTCATTTTCTGCGGAATGATTAACATATGTATAATCTGCTAATGATAGTCTTACCAGACTGACTGTCGACATTGAAGTTTGCACAGAAGTGCACCAGTTCAACCCACCATGATGCATTCAGCACAAAAAGGTAGCGAAGACAGACTCGAAAGAACTGTATTAGGCGGTGTTTATAGGAGAACGAATAGTAGTATTATGGAAAAACATCAGGGTTTAAACATTATTAGTCATTGACAACTTACTTGAAGTTGGCCATGCTCAGGATGCGTCCTTCTAACTCCTTCTTTCATCAAATTTTCTTCTCTATCTAGATCAACTGGATTCAAGGATGGTAATGATGATGATGATGTTTGACAACCTAGAACACCACGACTACCACCTGTATCTTTTCCCACTGATAACTTCTCTTCTTTACAATCGCGGAATCCGCTTCTATATTCGTTTATCCATGTTCCTAAACCGAGATTTGAGAAGATCTCATCAATATCGCAGGGCAGGTTGTCCTTAGCAGCTTTAAGTGTTTTATGCACACTGGCATAATTAAGCTGCGATGACGACAAATTACTCTCCATTTGATGTTTACGATTCTTAGTCATGTTTTCCAGTTTTGAAAGGTCTTCACGAAAGTAATTTTTTATAGGATGAATTGTTTCGCGTAACCAATTTGGCACATTGGATAAGTCAATTGAACTTTCGTTTGCATCGACCGAATCTTTCAGAAGTGCTGTTCCTGTCTGAGGATTTTGGTTACTTTGAGATTTTGGATTTTCAATATGGCGTCCCTCTTCACTTCTACTGGTTGATGGTTGTACGTCTTTTCTTAATTACAGAAGACAGTAAAATAAAAGAGAGGCATTATTGCTCATCTGTTTACTACTTTCACGTGATCACTCTGACAACATTTCAGATTAATTGTTATTTCTTTGCTGATGGTTAGCATTAGAATCCGTGATGTCCGTCCCTCCCTGTCTGGGAGTCATCATCCGTCAGTAGTTCCATCCACCAGTAAGTGATGATGTTCCCAGTGAGACTCGAACCCACTCAGCAGCTATCGTTTCAAACGTTGAAGCGTTATCTAACTTGTCAGTCTCTAATGGGACGAAACACGCATCCTGGATTCCGTTGCTAACAGCCACCATCAACAAAATAACATCATCCTTACCAGCAGATATCGTTGAATCATCCATACTAGAAACTGCCAACATGCGAACTGAGAGTGAGCAATTCGGTTCAATATAATAATCAATCAATCAACTGGGAATGCAAAACTCAACTTCAACAAATTACTTCATCTGTTCAAGAATTCGCCTACAGAGGTTTCCTTCTGATGCTACTCACTTGAATTTACGCCTTGTTCCTCTCACATGGTGTACACAAACTTTTGATACTAATGCACTGAAAAATCAGGAGGAATGCCTATTGGGTGCATGAGTGTGCGCGTTTGTGCGTGTTTGGAAATATCAATGAAGTTGTCCCATGCCAAATCTGACGTCAATCTCCGAATGAGCATACAGAACAGATTCGTTACCAACTGTTTGACATGAAAGTCATCAGAATGAGTCAAAGACTAGTTGACATAAAAGCTTTTGTGTCCCACCATCTCGATTTGTTAATAGATGGTTAGAGTCGATCGGCAGGAAGCCTCGGTATGTGGTCTTCGTGCTCGTTGGCACTCGTCCTACAGCAAGGCGTACTTGCAAAGAAAGCAAGCAAAGATAACAGACTGGCGAATAGCCCACAGATGTTTTGAAACGAAAGAGAGAAATAAATCCGAACAGTTACCTAGCTACGACTTTTATCATCTTATCCAACCAGCAGACTCAACAACACCAGTGTCTCGTGATTTTCCGAAGATATAAAAGGCTTGTATTTGTTACAACTCGGTCGACAACTGAAGTGGACTGAATAAATCCGTCACGATTTAGTTATGTCTGCGTCTGTTAATCACTAAAACGGTAATGAACTCAACTGATACACTAATACGTCTATATTTCCGTTGTACCTTCCGATTCCCTGAGCCAAGCGAATATCAAAAGACAAAACTGGCCCGTGACTGTAAGATATTGTATCATCATAGTATATAGATTAAGAAACAACACATGATATTTAGACATTTCCTATGGCATAATAAAGTCAGCTCACAACCGGGGCAATGGACTTTTCTTATTGGCTGTAAATGTCTCTTTTGATAGGTTAGTGATCCGCCATAGACCAAGATGAGACAAAATACGATGAATTGATCACACACTGAATCAGAATATGCGTAAGAAATGATGGATTAACAGAGTAACACCATCACAGGATAAATCACACGGTTTGTGAGAAAGAATGATATACTATTTTATACTGGGTCTTATCAGTCGACCACTCCGTCTAATTTCAGATATGTCAGCTACCACCCCCCCCCATCATTCAATTGCAGCATGGCTAGTTAAACGGTAATCAAAAACCAGGTAGTAATGAATAGCTGTCTAGCCCTCCTTTCTTCCGTGTCGTGTCCAGTACGCATCACCCCAACTCAGGTAGCCTACTCAACCACATGGCAAACAGTATTAATTCGTCGATCTCTGCTTCACTCAGTAATGCATGAGAGTTTAAGGGATAATACTCAGTGTCTATATTCACTTCAAATGTCTATTTGCTTTATTCATTCTTGCCACATTTGCCCTACACCTCACAGAGTTATTTTACAATTCATGTTGTGTTCCGTTCGAATGCAGTCACTCTAAATTTCTTCCAAGATTCATAACCCCTATTTTCTATACAAAATTGAATACACTAAAATCTCGTAGCACAACCAATGAATGGCTTGATGTTGTTTCGTGGGCAGGTCGATGGTGAAATTGATCCAAATCCCTACAAGAACGCACAATCCCAAATACAAAACTCCAGTACATTGACAGTCAGTGGGTGGATGTCCTCAAGATGTGGTGAGAAATCATCACCTGTGTGGTCCACCATGTCAGACTGAAGTGTGTGCTCATCGAAGACATTAGTTGAAGGTGGCGCTATTTCGTGAACCGACAAAGTTCGAATCCATGGTTCATCGAAGTCCAGTCCAATTGACTGCTGAATGGTGGACGAACCTGATCTCCTAACCCGGAGTTCACGGATTCCATCCCTTGTGTCATTGTTGGTGTGCAGTGATGGAGAGTGCGAAGGTAGTTGGAAACAACTGTCCAATGCTCCCTGGTGGTTCCAATTCATCTGAAACTAATGCTGGTTTGTGATGAGATCTACACTCAGATCTCACTCAAAATCTCTACAAATCCGATCATGCGAAACGCTACAGAATATCTTCAGTGTTGTCATCTGACTTGAGTTTCTCTTGTGACAAATATTCACATGTATACTAAGCTTTCTGACTAATTCTCACTTCCCAAATTCTTTTACAAACCACCATCTCGATGTCTCGAAAGGCTTCAACACATACACAAACACACACCGAAAGTAAAATCAGATTTCCACACTGGAAAATCTTGGAGACTGAAACCAGTGTTATATTTGTCAAACTGACCGGTGATTAATAACAAAGCAATCAAATCATCGACAACAACACCTACGGAGGTGGGCGAAAGACGAATCCATCGCTTATTTCGTCAATTTCTGCTCTCGTCTATACATAACCAACCTGAATGTTGATGTTTAATAGTTCTCTATTACGGTTTTAATATGATTCAATAGTTATACACACAGGTTGAAAATTCCACTCAGCATCATCTCAATGTAAAATAAAGTAGGCGAATTTTACAGTTAGATGTTTATACATATGTATATTTATGTAGGTGGGAGAGGGATTGAACCCAGGTTAACTGTATACAGAACATTTTCAGCCACAAAGACATTATGAAAATAAAAGTTAACTGTGAATAAGGAGCCTTTTCATTTTCGAACGTTATATCCGCTTTGCTGCCTAGTTATCGAATGGAATGATACAGAAGTCCTCCTCTTGCGAATTTACTCAACTCGGCTGTCGACATATACATAATCCACTGAATGAGACTGATCAGGGCTAGGTGCATGGATTGGTGGGAATCATCACGATATCGTGACTTTACCGGCGTAGATTTCGTTCTCCTCGGCACTTAAAACACAGCAACATGTATCTTCCTTCAACCTCGAAAGAAGTGAAACATCTGTCCCCATTCCAATATTCGAACCGTCAACAGTGAGTCATTCGGACTCACGACTCACTACCTCATGTAGAGGTGTAATGTTTACATTGATTGGTCATCACCTCGTATGTAGGTAGGTAGGTAATAACAAGTATCGATCAAGTGTCTAGTCCTATGTGTTGGTGTGTTGACTGAATTGACTGAGTATTATTCCACTTTGCAATATGGAGTCGTCTTCATGCTGAGTGATGATGACTAGCTGTTATGGTGTACTTCAAATTGGTATTCGATGATGATTCGAGGTAGTCGGCGTGAATGCTAGATAATGTTTGAATAAAACTAGATTAGTTGGAATTGATGACCGACGTTCCATTTCATGGAGGCTATTTCTGAAGGATGTTTCCAATGGTCGGGAGCGAGTGATGATTATTTCACCTCAAAGAGTAAAAGTTCAGTGATTACATGGTTTCAGATATTTCAATGAATGATCAGGGAGCATTGTACTGTGTGAATGAGATCAGTGCCAAAGTGAAATATGATCTGGCTCCCTTCGATGCTGTTTAACAGATGCAATGCTTCCGAATTCACATACAGGTCTTGCTGCCGAGTGCCAATGAGCACAGTATGTATGTCCAGGGCTTCCTACCCACTGACCCGACCATCCCATAGACAGCACTTTCAACGCTAACTTTATTATGAACTGAGACTTTGGAATTCTATGTCAATGATGCATCTGCCGCTACTGATGATCTGTACTGTGAATGATTGTCTTCAGAGTTCTACTTTTCCTTATGTTTATTTACATTCATTCGTTTGATTGTTTCGTTGACCTGCTATTCGACGAGGATGACATGCGACTTCTTCTTCGTTTATTCAACAACCTGATCCTCGTCAGAATGTCTGTTGAGTGCAGATTGATTTGAGTAATAGGCTTCTCACAATTGTCATCTACAACTCGTTTAGCCGGCAGTAAGCACCAGTGAATATGGCAGGTTGCACCCTACTCTACCAACCACACTCTGTAAAACAACCACTGCCACTGAAAATTCAAACCTCAAGCTTCTAGCCTAATGTTCCAGTCAGAACGAAAACGAATCAAAAACTGTGCATACTTATGAAAAGCAACAAAACTCGAATTACCTGTGCACAAGTCTCGAACTCTTATATCCAGTAGGTTTCAATGGTATAGAGATGCGTGGTTTGATTCCTTTGTAACGATTAACTTGACTCAGGTGTTTCTTACTACTCGCTGAACAGTTAACTGGAGTGAGAAGTGAAAAGGAGAAGCAATACAATGTTCATCTCATCGACCATGACTGAAATCTTGTTTGCTGTCTTAATATTAACAAAGTGAGGGGAGAGTGGAGGCTAAATGCGTTAGGAAACTAAATTATGCCCATGACATCAGGAATATGAAATCAAATTTATGATAGAAAATACTCAGGTATTCAGGACGTTTTTCCACTGAGTTTGAAATCGGGAAGCTTAATTACGTGGCATTAGTTGACGACTTTATATTGATTTATTGCACAGTTTCTCCGAGTGGTTAATTGACACAATGGCATTTCATATTCGTCAATTGTACATCGTTAAATGGAATGGTAAACCATAATATGCTATGAAATATGCTCAAACGATAGCTGACACCAGAAGAACAGTGTATATCTTCTAGTTTTCCCGTTACAAGTCCTTCCTCCTGAGTAAACGAAAACATGAAACAATCATGAATCCTGCATAAAATACGATTTCAACCACCTAACTTAGTAATAGTGGTTACTCTTCAGTTTGACAGGTGCCGAATACCAAATTTCACAAGTACTCATTCTATCTCAGTTAGACAACGCTCTCCTCTGGAAATCCATAGACAATCAGAAGTTGATTGATCCCACTAATCTGGTAGTTTACTAGGGTACTGAAACTAGAAGATCACAATGATTAGTAGGATTGTCATTAGTTGCCATGCTGTTGAGACTCAATTATTAATGCAGTGATCGCTGTTTGGAATATTGTGAGTGTTGAACATTGGAAGCAAGTGTCACAAAATGCCAAGTTCAATATCACCACAAACAAACGCGAATTTCTCCTCAGTGTTTCAAAATATTCAAGAAATGTAGAAATGTATGCAATTCAACGTACAAATTTGCGTGTATGAAAGAAGAGATGGCAAAATTCAGTGACATTCCGATGTGGGAGGACTGAACTTAAGCTGACCAAATTTAAAAGTGACATAACATACCAGATTGGCTCTTAAGTGGAACAAAATGGATGCATTTCATAGGTGATATGGAATTCATTTACAGAGAGTATGAACGCTTGTGAGGAGTCAGGTAGCCAATCAACAAAGAGAGTGGATTACAATGCCAGTAAAAATAACTAACATTGTAAACATGATAAAATTTATTTGAATGTGGATGCAGACAATGATAGGCACATTCAAACTATTCCCAATTTGAATTCTCAATGCTTAGGTTAACAGTAAACGTGTTTTCTGGAATTAACTTTCACACTATCGAATTTCCCATTTATCATATATAGATGAGAGCATTTAAACACCGTTTATGATTTGACAATAACTATTAAGTAATGAATTCTTTATAATTGGCGAAATGATAATAAGAATACCGTAGATCATCGTGTCATGGATTTTGTCTGGTGTAGACCGAGGAATCTAAGAATTCCCAATGTTCTTCCTAGATCAGTCTCAGAGGTTCAGTGTTAGAATGCTCGCCAGTCATGAGGGATGTCCGGATTCAACTACCCGTCAACACTCCCAGACAATAAAACTGGTAAAGTTGGATGTCGACCCACCTCGTGAAAATAAATGCCACTGCCACTGAAACATCAATACTTGAATCACCACTTCCCACCAGAAATTTGAGGAATAAACAATGTCTAGATTAGAACCGTTATCCAATTAGTATCTAATAGTGTTTCCAGAGAGATATGCAACATGAGTGAAATTCATTTTGAAAAAAGTGACAGGAACTTACCTTTCGACTGACTCAGTGAGAACCCGAATTTTCTTAATCTATTTCCAAGAGCCCGGTGCTTCGAGTCTGGTTTCATCGTCCCAGGGACTGCAAATGTCTTTCATATGTTCGGATGTATCCTCTTCTTCTTGCTTATTCACCTTCTAGGCACAATGAATGTGAAAAATTAGATATATTTTGATAAACCATCGTCGAATTTATGGTCTAAAACTATGAAAATCATTATGATGCGAAACTGGCTAGTCTTGTGCTAAGAAACTTTTCAAGCTAATGCTTCATCACCTCGTGTTTTAGCCTTTCACAACTGCAAATATAGAGCATGGTTCGGCAGTAGAATGATCTACAGGACATCTCTTCTGGTACCAAGTCAGGCATTAATTTCTCTTCACTTCTAATTTACGGTTTTCAGTTACTATTCAACTTTTATTCTAGCCCTACGCGTTGGAGAATAGTAGAATACATTATTATTACTGTGGTGTTAATTAGTGGCGCTAATTTCGTGTTTTGGTGGTATTGCACATATCCACAGACGTCGTACACTTCTCAGATTCTGGACAAACATAACCTTTCTGTTTACATAGTTACACAAGCTTGTGTGAAACAATTTTCGTATTGATTTACAAACATTGCTTCTTATCGTAATGGGTTGTAAGATTTTTCCGTATATCTGTCACATAAGGCAGCTGCTATTTACATTACTTTACTTCGTTTCACTTTACAGTGTTACCACCGTTATCGGAAACTAGAAGAGTTGAGAAGTCTTCAGGTTCCTGACTAGATTTGTCTTTATTCAACCGCTCACTAAAGGTAGCATGCAATCTTAGCTAGGAGTCACGTTTGGCGCAAACTGTTGCACAACGAGACTAAGCCTATGAATGAGGATGCAAATATCCGGCAGCCATAGTTTGTGGCAAGGGTGTTATGCACTGCTAAAACAGAAAACCTGGCAGAATTAGGATGAGGATGGAGAAGTCACCGGCTATTAGGTCAAAATGTGTCACTCCTCTTCATTTATTCTCACTCTTTACCTGATATACATAAAGAAGTGTAATTTATTTGTTTAAGATCCTCAGAACACTAAAACCAGAGGAAGATGCTTACGGAAAATACTCCAACCTCTAACAAGTGACTTGTATTCTCTCATTCTCCATCAATTGCTGACTTCTGAGTGTTTTTAATACTGTTTAACGAATTGTCTTCTTCTTCTTCCTTACTATGTGCGGAATGCATTTAAAGTAGTGGATAATAAGCAATATGCACTTAGTGACGAAAACTCAGGTTTATTAGGCTGTTGCAAATAATCCTATGCTGTCTACATACGTATTCAGAATACTGGATCAAATAAGTGGTGATATTCACAGATCATGCTAAGTCATTTTTCTTCAAAAAGATAAGCCTAACTTTCAGTACAGCTTCCAAAGTATTAAAATGAATAGATCAAACTGAATTGACCTAATATCAACTAAATAAACATCTAGCTTGCCTGTGGATGCTGTTGGTGTTTACGTTGAATGTTGACGGGCTCTTATCCGAAAAGTCCTCAATATCATTTTGTGATTCTCTATTGTGTAGGTAAAATGCACAACCTCAGGGTCAGCAGTTCAATCGAATAGACAGATGAGACTAAAACGATTTTCCCCAGACATTTATTGCTATCAGAGAGTTATCATAAAAATAACTGAGTCTTCTTGCTTCGACTTCCGTCATCAATACCTTGCAGACTAAGTAGATTACTAGTTAAGTGGGTGACCGAGAATATGTAGTTTAATAAATCTGTCATAGTGTGACATGTCTGTAACACAACCAGACCTCTATAAATCCATGAGTGTCAAATCAAATACTTGAAACGGGCTTATGCGCAAAATGCATCAAAATCACGTGTAGTTTAAATTTCACCGGAATCTAACAGAAATAGCAGCTGGAGGTAAAATGGTAAACTGATGAGAGCAAGTCAACATATTCAGATCATTAAGAAATGACTTTGAGCTTGACTTATCTTTTCACTTCCCACATAACAAAGTGTACTCCAGAGTAGTTAGGAAGACAAGCCGTTGAGTGAATAACCCTCATAAACAATTCGCCAATTGATTAGCATCTACACTAATAACTGTTCGACAGTGGAACAGACGAATGTGGATACTTGGGAGAGAGGATTCAGCATAAGCTTGAAAATTTCTATCTTCGACCGAAAGTTTAAGTCCTGTGATTCAACTAGGCTGAGTTAATAATAATAACTATAGTAGTGGAATTACTCAATTCAAATAATTGGGAGTAGTTTGTTGTGGTATGTCTAAGTAATAGACCTAAGCATGCCGTAACGAGGAAATATAATGAACTGTACATTATGAAGTGTACCTCATTTCTAGGGCGTTCCGAAGAATTCATGATCACACGTGAATACGTGGCCAGACGAAGATAAAGTATCACAGCCAAAGCCAAGACTTTTCATAAGTGTACGTTCAAGAATCAGTAAGATATAGGGAATGTTACGAAACGTCATTCCAAATCAAATCGCGTCTGTTATTTTCGACTTGGAGAAGGTATATGCAGTATTCCACTCATTCTCTAGGTACCTTTTTTGTAAACCTATGCTGTTGCATAGGGTTATGGCCCTTTATATTAAGGTTCAGAGTGCATAAACCATGTAGTGTTAAAGTTAGGATTATGTTTATAGTTAATTGTTGTTTGTCCAAATTCACTGAGGTTTTGGCTGTGATAGCTTAACTTAGCCCGTGACTACTTTCCAGAAAGCGAAAAGAATGGTAAGGGCTGCTTAAAATGAACAAAAATTATAATATCTTAAGAAGACAGATCCTTTTATTGTGAGTCTAGGTTATCTACCTGACTATGGGTGAATCGTATTCAGTTTGACTAAAATATTTTCATATTGCAACACAGCAAATGTATTTGTCTAGGCATACTCCACTCATAAAGATTCCATTTCCAGAAATCATTAAGTACAACATTCTGCTCACCTCAAACTACCGTCTCTGGCAGCGATAACAAATTACCACCTTCCAATATCCAATATGGAAATGGAGAAGGCTGTTTAAACAAAACTTGTCCAGTATCATTTTCCCGAGCCAGTGTAACTTAAATTGATCTCTTTGTGTCCGGTTCTTGGTTGCAAGCTAAAGGTTCCTGCTCTTCGGTAATCTAGTGCTTACTGCGTCCCGTCGCTCAGCCAATGTGGCTTTGGTTTGTTCCATGAGTTGTGCTGGACCTGGTCGGTAGTATAGGTTGTGTCAAAACTGTGTCTCTGTTGTAAATAGGTTGACCATTTCACTCGTTAGTGTATATTTATGGGTAATAATGATTAAGTGGGTTAATGGATGAACGGATTAGTTGGAAGTGTTAGACAAGTGAGGGTGAGCAGTGGTAAACGACGAGTTGTGATGTGTACCCATTAACTGTACGTATGAGACTTAGGTCGACAGACCATTTCGACTCAGTCCTTGTGTCATTGTACGATTTTCCAGACTTTTTTAGAGCTTTTTACAGGCGGTGCAGTAGTCACATCTACTGGAAAAGAGTTGCAGGTAGGTCAAAATGGAATATAAGATAAATAGGACCCCACTGGAGGCTTTCCTCAATGAATCGTTACATTTCATGGATTCCCACGAGGCAGCTCATTTAATTATTGCATCAAGGAAAAATAGAATACATCAAGACAAAAGCATAAGATAGAGAGAAATAGGTCACCGCACCACTTCATTTCAAACCAGAGAGTCTAGTGAGTGATGAGGTAATTTGAAAGGCCAGAAGGAAACACGTTTCAATGATGACTCCGAGTACTTCATGCAAAAACATTCTGAGTCACCGCAGAATCTAACAGTCACTGCCAAAGGGCTCTGCATCAACACTGGAAAGAAAGTGGAAATCCTGAGGTTGGTAAAACAGCAAGCTGAGATATGTGAACGATAGAGACAAGACGTTTTTATTCATATGAACAATGATCCTGATGCGTATTCAGGAAAGAAATATTTTTGACGAAGCTCGGTAGAATCACTTACAACTCATTACGATAGGAGGCAATGTTTGTAAATCAATACGAAAATTGTTTCACACAAGCTTGTATAACTATGTAAACAGAAAGGTTATGTTTGTCCAGAATCAGAGAAGTGTGCGACGTCTGTGGACATGTGCAATACCACCAAAACACGAAATTAGTGCCACTGATTAACACCACAGTAATAATAATATATTCTACAACTCTCCAACACGTAGGGCTAGAATCAAAGCTCAACAGTAACTGAAAACCGTAAATTAGAAGTGAAGAGAAATTAATGCCTGAGTTGGTACTAGAAGAGATGTCCTGTAGATCATTCTACTGCCGAACCATGCCCTATATTTGAAGTTGTGAAAGGCCAAAACACGAGGTGATGAAGCATTAGCTTGAAAAGTTTCTTAGCACAAGACTAGCCATTTTCGTATCTTAATGATTTTCATAGTTTTAGACCATAAATTCGACGATGGTTTATCAAAATATATCTAATTTTTCACATTCATTGTGGCTAGAAAGTGAATAAGCAAGAAGAAGAGGATACATCCGAACATATGAAAGACATTTGCAGTCCCTGGGACGATGAAACCAGACTCGAAGCACCGGGCTCTTGGAAATAGATTAAGAAAATTCGGGTTCTCGCTGAGTCAGTCGAAAGGTAAGTTCCTGTCACTCTTTTCAAAATGAATTTCACTCATGTTGCATATCTCTCTGGAAACACTATTAGGTACTAAGTGGGTAACGGTTCCAACCTAGACATTGTTTATTCCTCACATTTCGGGTGAGAAGTGGTGATTCAAGTAGTGATGTTTCAGTGGCAGTGACATTTATTTTCACGAGGTGGGTCGACATCCAACTTTACCAGTTTTATTGTCTGGGAGTGTTGACGGGTAGTTGAATCCGGACATCCCTCATGACTGGCGAGCATTCTAACACTGATCATCTGACACGGAGCCAGTCAGGTGATATTGGAACTTTACGTTCTTTGTTTTAAATATTTAATGCATACACACCATCCTTCGGTTAATTTTGTGTAAGTCTCCGAACCCTTTTTTTGTTATTTGGGAGATATC